TGTTGTTGTTGTTGCTGCTGTGGTTGGTTGATGTCTTGATTGCCGTCGCACCCACCCAAACCCACAACATACAAGCTTCATGCAGCCGTAAACCGGAACCCATGCATGACGCCCGGTGTGTTGCCGTTTCAACGCCTTTACTGCTACATGCGGGACATTGGGGCTAAAAGCGGTAAAAGTTTGGATTCGATGGTGGTGGTCTTCAAGTATTTGGCTTGAGAGTTTATGGTCTACGAGTTCAGAGCTCTATACACACACACACACCTTTGTATATAGAAATATATATATATATATGTATGTATATATACATACATTGTTCATATAGACGCTACATCCGAAGCCCTTGAAGGAGGCAGTGCGACTCGGCAGACCATGAGCAGAGCATCGAAGAGATGTTGAAAGAGTCCCACGGCCTACAGGCAGGCTGAGTGCTGAAGGGGTTAATAGATATTAATAGCGGGTTCGTTGAGGTTTCGAGTTTGAGATTTTGGCTTCTGAGTTCGGTTTAGGGCCGTCAGTATGTAGACTTCACTAGGGGATGTCAAGCACTGTTGGATTTTCTTTACCACGATGTCTACAAGTGTCTGCAGTTGAGTTCAAGATGCGTTGGCATGAATGCGCCTTGTTGTTCCACATTCGCTTTCCCATTAACGAAAGTCTGTCCTAGGGCGGAACTTGCGAGTTAGTTAGCCTGCGATCCGTCAGGGCTCTAGAAGCAGCACAACCCAAGTTACATGGAGCGCAAAGCTATGCAGCATTAACTCAGTGAGCAAGTCTCTGACCCAGGGCCCTGTCTTCGCTAGGGGTAGCAGGCCCTGTGGATCTAATTGCAAGACCTCCGTGCTGCATGCCGCCCCAAAAGGAACGAGGGTTGACGGATTTCGCACACCTCGAATCAGGGTAAGTTGTGACCGTACAGCTGCGCCCAATACAGCTACAACAGCTGACTCCCGACACACAGCAAGGGCACGCCCACTTGATTCTCACACCGAAACAACAAAGTCACCAAGCCGTAGAGAGCCGGAAGCAACAAGCCAGGACCAATCTTTCTAACTGGGACTCAGGGTTGAGGGTTTGGGATCTCGAGCTCAGTATCTCTCAGCCCTACACCCTAAACCCTAAGCCCTTAACCGTAAACCCTCCACTCACATGACGGCGCAGCGCAGTTTCTGGTCTTGGAGCGCTGCGGCGGGTCGGAGTTCTTCCCATCGCTGCGCCAAAACGTCAAGCTTGAGTTTCTGTGACTCGGATGCCAGGCATCTGCTGGAACTTGGGGAGTTTGATAAACAAATACCTGGTGCTTAGAGTAGTAGGGTTGTGTCATTAGGGTGCCATTCTATGGGAGGTGTAGCTCCGAGACGTCTGAATCAAGTTGCTACATGAGGCTCAGGTCACTTGCAAGCCGAAATAGGATGCCCCAGTGCCATGCGACTTCTTTCAACGTCTCCCCATCAGAACCGTCACAGGAAGAAGGCATCCTTGCTGTTGTGTGCTAATAGGAGCCCGAAATCCTTGGAGCCTAAACCCTAAACCATGAGAGTCGCAAGCTTTTGTCACCGGTTCGTCTTCCGGGTTTGTTTGCCTTCAACGGCACCATGTGAGAGTTGCTGAAAGATTAGTGTTATTTCTCAGGGTTTCCCGAGCAGGCCCTAGTAAGTAAGAAGCCCGAGGAAGGGCACCCGGTGTAATCTAGACACCCTTTTTGCGGCCGGTGTCGCACCGATCCCCACCCCACCCCAGCCCTGGCTCACGACGGCGTCCAACTAAGCAAGTGAGCAACGGGTAAGAGTTGCAAAGAAACAGCCTTTCACATATTTGAACTCTGCCGGGGCTCTACCGTGCATGGTTGGCAGGCTTAGTTCATGTCGCAGTGTTGCAGCAAGATTATGATGATGAAGCATAGCGTGTATTGTTACCTTCTCGCAGAGGACAGGCTTATCTGAGTGTGTCTGCGTGCGTGCGCGCGTGTGTGTGTGTGTGTGTGTGTGTCTGCAGGACCCTAGAACCATTTTTGCTGTGGTTACGATATCCTCAGCAAAGCAGAAAGCCCGAAGCCGGAGACAAAGGAAAACGACTTTAAATTTTCTCCTGCCGCCCTTATGCCCTGAACCCCGGAGCCTGTACACCCTGAACCCGAAAGCCTCAAGAGTCCTATGGAGACTTTTCTTAGGTACATCTCAGCCATGAGCCAACTGAAATTCTTCCCGCCGCTGGACGACTTGGTGGCTTTGCGCGACCTGCAAATCACCGGTAGTCAACTGGAGTGGCTTCCAGTTTCTTGTCATATCTTGGAAAAAAGGGTAGCTCGGGGAATTAGGTGGGGTTTCAAGTTCAGGCTATTGTGTGGTGATTGGAATCTCACTATTTAATCTGATTGAGCCCCAGCGGCTCCAGCACATAAACCTTCTAGCTGTTTTCTTCGGAGGTTTCGGCTTTGGATAACCCGTACTACCATGAGAGCTTAAGGTCACCGACAAATTAGCCGTGACAATTCACGAATCATCTGACACTCCATGTAACGAAGACTCTTGCGCTTTGGGTTTATAGGGCTTAGGGGAAAAATTATCTGTCCTCAATTCAACAAGGGAGTTGGTACACTCCTCTAAGCATGCTCTGCATCACAAGCCTTCCAGCCCACCTCCTAAACAAGCACGACTTTCAAGTCACAAGCCAGGTCCCTAAACTCTAAAGACTCACATACAAAAATGCATACATATATATATATAT